GGGGCGGTGCAGTGCGCATGCGTCTCCCCCCCCCGCAGTGAGAGTCACAGTGCAACAAATAACCAGAAATCACCCCCAAAAACTTTAGTGACGTCACTCGGGGACACGTGACACCAGCCTACCCGAGGGGGCTGCAGCCGCGGGAGGCGGCCGGGCAAGAGAGGTGCGAGCGGGCCGAGAGGGCGCCTTCCCTCCAGCAAAAAGGGGCAATTTCAGGGGTTTTCAGCAAACTGCTCCCGCCGCGCAGCCGGACCGGGTCCCTTTTCTGGGCCGTTTCAGGTGGATCCCAGGCCCAGGGGCAGCTGCAGCCCGGCAGGACCAGCCCCGCGTCCCCATCGGGGCGCTCGGCAGCATAACCTGCCTCCTTAGCCAACCCTTCCCTGTTCCGTGTTCCAACCAAAAGCCGGGAGGAGACCGTTTCCTTCCCCGCCTCGCGCCGCTTTCCCCTGGCTTGGGGTTTATTTGTGCTTAAACCGGCTGCGGGGGGGCAGCAGCAGCAGCCCCCGTCTCCCCGGCCCGTGTAGGATTGACACTCACATCAAACACGGCCCAGAACCCCTCAGCCCCCCAGAAATCACAATAAGCTTCCCTCAAATAAAGAAAAATCAAATAACAACAGATTAAAAACACAGGTTAGGTGTCAAAATTGCCATCAACTAATTACAGACAACCAACACGATTCTTAACTCGACTAACAGCTGCTTTGCTGTTTGATGGATGAGAGATAGGAAACATTTGTCAAGAATATACAAAAAAAAGGTATGTACAGAGCTATTTGAAAGGCCGTAAATAAGGTCGTAGGTGGCTCCAGGTTATTGTCTTCTCACATCTAGAAGCACAAGACTGGGAACATTTCGTTGCCTATCCTATTTTTCCGCCTTCGCACAGTACAGCTGCAATCAGCACAGGATCCACGAGAGGGCTCCGCCGCAGTCTCTTGGGTGGCTCTGCTCAGAAGTTTGGCAAACATTAAAATAATGTTAAAATAATTTAAAGATTTAGCTGTCCGTTTGCTCCGACTGGTAAGTCTTTAATTAAAAAAAAAAAAAAAGGAAAAAAAAAAAGAAAAAGAAGAACTTGCCAGAACTTGCCAGGATTCATTCACACACCTGGCTGCTCTTGAAGGAACCGTCACGGGCAAAGAGCGTTGCCAAAGGTCACATTTTTGATGATTTTAACCAGAAACAGCAGCGGAGCAGGGGGTTGCGGTCAGAGCGACGGGGGGGAACTCCTGGCGCTCCCGCTCGTGCCTTGTCCCGTGAATCCTGCTCCCTGCAACGGGAACACGGGAGGCTCCGGCTGCCTCTCCCGAGCTGCCACCGCGACGGTCCAGGTCCGGAAGGCTCCAAAGGAGGTTTCCATCCCGCCGACCGCCTCTACCAGTGCCTGGAGTCCACGAGCTCCGGGCGGAGGCTGAGCTTCTTCAGCGTCTCGTATCCCACCACGATGACGATGGTGGAGGGGGTGGCCGAGATGATGCGGGCGGAGAGGCCTTTCGTGAGCCCCCAGGGCCCCTCCTCTGCGATGAGCTGCTTGAAGGTGAGGACGATGGAGCTCTTGCCTTCCACCTGCAAAGGCAGAGCAAAGACATGCAGAAAAGGGCTCGGCTGCACGGCGGCTGCTCCGGCAGAGACTGCAGGGGCAGCCCGGCCCCACGCCGCAAACCGGGATCTGTGGAAAAGCAGCAAATCAAAATGAAGACCCGTCAAAAAGGGAGAAGTCCTGGAGTATCAGCTCAAGCATCGCTCCAACTGGTGCTGCTGGAAGCGCTGAAGCAAAGCGGAGGGGAAAGCTCACGCGAGGCGCCCCGAAGGGTGCGGGTGGCCTTCCCAGAGCTGCCTCCTGCGCGATTCCCGGGACAAATCCAGCCCGAGGAGAGCAGGAGCCCCCCAGCAAGGGGCCCAGCTCTTACCTGCACCCGCGCCCTGACGACATCCATGGGGTTGGTGAGCGTGGACGCGGTGGCGGCCGCGAGCGGCCCCGATATGGCTTGCAGGAGCAGGTGGGGACAGTCCTTCGGAGTCAAGCTGGAAAGCTGCTCTGGGAGCGGGAGGGAGAGGGGAGTCACCAACCAGCGGCTGCTCCGCCGGCCCCGGCCCCGCGCGCCGAGTCCGCCTGCCCGGCCCTGGGGCTCCGCAGCACTCCGCACATTTAGAAATGCTAAATTTATATTTAGGAATATATAAATGCAAAATGCTTGCACGTGAGGAAGTCAGAGTAGGAAGGGAGCAGCTCTGCAAAGCTCAGGGCAGGGGAACACCCCAGCTGCTGCTGCCACTTCGACGCGGCGCTGACCCCAACCCGTTTTCCCTGCTGCTTCCAGAAAGTGCCTGCACTGAAAGCAAAGGGGGCCCTTGAGACACCTGTGTTTTCATGAACAGGAGCCTTCCTGGCTTTACCTGAAACTTAGTACAGTGAAATCTAGGCCCATCATTATCACCACCTGCAGCTAGATGGTTATTAGGCGAATATGGGTCCAAAACCACCTCGCAAAGCAGCACGACGAATCCAATGAATTACCAGGGGGAGAAGTGTGAGCTGGGCAGCGTGTCCAGCATTTGGGAACAGCCCGAGCTGGGAGAGGACACGCTGCAAAACACGGTTCCCTATCACCAGGCTTGAAAACCCACAGCGCTTGGAGCTGACATGGACACGCGGCCCGAGGGCTCGGCCCTCGTCTCGGCCTCCTCCTGCTCTGGCACTGGAGGCTCTAGAAGCCGTTTTGCTGAGGACCCCGAGCCCACGTGAACAGAAACACGAATCACGGCTTCATTCAGCGCATTCCAAACGCTGCCCAGGGCCGGGGAGCAGCCGGCCCCGCTTCCCCGGGACGGCCAAGGCAGATGCACCGAGTCCCTTTGCCCAAAGCCCCCTCGTTTGTAGCCCTCTGGCTCTCAGGCTCGCGTTCCTCAACGCCCTGTTGAGAGCTACGCCGCTGTCAGGCTTCCACCCGGCCCCTGCGGAATTGCTGGAAGCGGGAACACGAGTTTATGGAGAAAGCCCAGAGCGACGTGGGGACAGGATCGCGCCGGGCCCGCAGCCTCCCAGCTGATCCGTGGCCCTTCCAGGCTCCCGAGACAGGAGGCACCCGCTGCCTCCCTGCACCTACCGGCGTAGAAGTGGTAGAAGGGCCACCACACGGCGCTGTTGGGGATATAGGTGAGCAGCGAGGCCACGTAGCCCCGGTAGAAGCCTCGAAAGCCATCGGCCTTGAAGATCTGCACAATGATGTCCTTGGTCTGGCCGAAGACCAGCAGGCGCTTGCCATCCTGGCTCTGCACCTTGAACCTGCCCATGCTCTCCCCTTTCCTCTGCATCATGAGGTGCTGGGAGACCACGTCGATGGGAACCGTGATGCTCTGGGCCACCAGGGAGGCCGAGCCGCCCGCGACCAGAGACTTGACGGCGTTGTTGTTGTTGTAGCGCGACACGTACTTGCGAGTGAGCTCGTACGTGGTCACGTAGCACTGGCCGGAGATGAGGGTGAACGTGTTGACCAGGAAGCCGCGGTAGAGCCCGGCGGCCCCCTCTGTCCGCAGGATTTTCACAAAGGCATCGAAGGTCCCGTTGTAGAGGCTCTTGCCCTTCTGAACCTGCAGCCGCGTCCGGATGAGCGTGAAGGGGTAGACGCTCACGCGGATCATCATGGTCATGCAGATGCCGAACACGTAGAACTTCCTCTTGTCCAGGTGCTCCCACTCGATGATGGGGATGTTGCGCTTGTCCTCCATGGCTCCCGACGTCCGGAGCAGGGCGGGCCGGCCTCGGATCTCCCTCCGAGCGGCCCTAGGCGCAGCCCGCGGATCCCGAGCGCCCGGATTGGAAGCGCCGGCGCCTGCAAAGAGAGAAGGACATTCAGAAGCTCATTAAGGCCCCTCGTTAGCGGGGGCGCACACAAGAGCCCCGCTCCAGCGGCGAGCGCTACCTCTTCACGGACGCGCAGCCTCACGGACCGCCGGCCAGGGCAGCTTTCCTGCAGGCATTCCGGGTTCCCGATGCTTCCAGACGCTGCCCTTCAGTTCCAGGCTCTGCACGGAGAAAGCAGAGAGGCCTGAAGCCTCCGCGCGCGCCCTCCGACTCCCCGCGCGGACCGGACGGCTTCTCGGGGCATCCCGGTCCCTCCTTTCCCAAAGCCAAGGGGCAACGCGAGCCGTGCGGAGCAGGGAAAGGGGCACCGAAAGCGGGAGCAAAAAGCAAGAGCAAAACGTTACGCACGGTGCGAGATGCTGGAAAAAAAGGGGTCAAGGAGCCCTGCGAGCTCAGAGGAGCAGGGCCGAACGGCGCCGTCCGGCTCCGGGAGCAAGGGCCATCCAGGCGATGCAGACCGGCGGCCGGAGCGATGGGAAACCCCGGCGCGGGCGGGAGGATTCCTCCGGGAATTCCTGCTCCCGGCCGGGCTCGGGCTCCACGCGGGGCCGGGACAAGAGCGTCTCCAAGGACTAAACCGGGCTCGGCTCCAGCTCTGGCTTCCGCCCGCGCGGTGCCGACGGCCCAAATCCCCCCCAAGCCACCAGCGGAACCAGGAGCTCGGACAGCCCCGGTGCTTGGAGGGGCCGTTAAGAGAATTACTGCCAATTATTTACGAAATTTCTGAAATCACACTGCGCGCGTGCGTGGCAGGGCGGTTATCCAAGCGCTTCCGAGCCCATCTGCCGGCAAAATATTTACTTAACATCAGCAAACAGTGTCACAGGTTGTCCCGGCTCCCGGTGATGGACGGGGGAGTTAAAAAAAGGGCACCTGGGTGCACAGGGGAGCACGGGCAGGGACGTGAGACCCTGTTCTGCCCGGTACAAAGACAACTCAATGACTGTTATAGTCCACTGACCTGACCAATGGTGCTAATGAAGCTAATGGCTCACGTAAACAAAACTGGTGCTGCTTTAATTATCGTTAAAGCTTTGCTGCTTCACGAATAAATGCCTAATTAGACAGGATAAAGCTTCCTACAGAGGAATTATCACTTCTCAGCTCACACCGAGTCCCACTCGCTTAATATTTTCCATAAAGGTGCGTGGTCTGAGCTCCGGATTCCTCTGCCGCCCCAGACTGCATCATCCTCACCCAGAGCTCGGCTCCGGGGAGGCAAGTTCCCTGCTACGGAAAATCCGACGCACTTTAATACAGGAGAGAAAAGAGCGCATGGATATCAAGGATACTTCTCTAAGAGTAGCTTTGGGTACTCCAATGCTTTTAGAACGGAAAACGTAGCCACTTCCTGGGGGAATATCTGCTTTCCTTGGGCTTTCCTGAACAACTACCTTCGTTCTGAATCCCAATGAGGCAGCTGGCGTCACGTTAACGCCCCGGCCCACGGGCACGGGGGGCAGTAAATGTCCCCGGAGGGCACGGAGCCCCTCACCGGGGAGGTTTGGATGGTCGCAGAGCCCCAGGGTCCCTGGGGTTGCTCTCTATCCCAACGCAGCAGCCTTAACAAATTTAACTAAATTGGGAGGAACGGTGACTCGCCACTGCGAACAGAATGGGGTTTTTTTTGAATTCCTGCCTGGAATTTAAAGCAGGGGGTTAACGGGCAGACTGTACCTGTCACTAGGAAGCAGCCGCCCGTATGTCACAGCGCAAACGTCACCCGCGCCCGGCACGAAACACCCGTCCCCGCGATGTCGCCCCCGGGCGGCCCCCGCCGAGCCGGGCTCCGGGCCCCTTTGGCTGCGCCCACATCCGCACGGGAATCCTCGGGAACGAAGAGAGGGCCTTTGTGTCCCGGGCCGAGGCCGCTTCCCGCCCCGCATGTTAATGCCCGGCGCGGAGGCCTGGGAGCCGTCCAGGCGCCCGCCGCTTCCCGCCGTTGCCTGGGGAGACCGTCCCGCGTCCAGCGGCTCCGCTCCGGACTTGCCGCTTCCGCCCGGGCCCCGCGGTGCCGAG